GGTTTTTCTTTACCATAGAGAGGATCCTGTGATCATCCACCACTGTTGTCTTCCGTGGATGTCCATGCCTTTTTATGTTGCTGAGCTCACCAGTGTGTTCTTTCCGCAGAATGTACCAAACTGTTGATTTGACCACTCCTAATGTTGCTGCTATCCCTTTGATGGATTTGTTTTGTTTTGGAAGCCTTACAATTGCCTGTTTCACTTGCATGAACAGCTCCTTTGAATGCACGATGTAGGTTCACAGCAATAGATTCCAAATGCAAATACTGCACCTAGAATCAACTCCAGACCTTTTACCTGCTTAACTGATGAATACATAACGGAGTAGCCCACACCTGGCCATGAAACAGCTTTTGATTCAATTGTCCAATTACTTTTGGTCCCTTGAAAAAGGGGGGGGTGGCTAATCTTAAAAGCTGTAATTCCTAAACCCTTCCTCCAATTTGGATGTACATACCCCCAAATTAAACCTGAGGGAGTGCACTTTCAGCCCATATCCATTATATAACTATAGCTTGAATATGTTTTGGTAAATATCTGAAAAAAAACTAAAATTGTTCCTGTGTCCAAATATATATGGACCTAACTGTATATACAGTATATGAACATTGAACAGTCCTGATTTACTCACGTCATTTTTTATTTTTAACATACTGTCACCATTGCAGTACAGCATCATCATATAACTGGTATGGTGATGATCAGGGTGGTGACAGTATGTGTAAATTATTTTTTTTTTTTTTTTTTTTTTTTTTTTTTTTTTACACACTGTGACCAGAGCAGTACAGTGTTACCAAAGTGACACCAAACTACTCTGCGGACGTGATCAGGATTTGTTTTTTTTTTCACACACGATTGCTTATAACAGTGATAATCATTGTTATAAGCAACCTTTCTTATGAATGGCATCCATTCGTCCATTGTGTACCATTGTGAAGCTGTGGTTGACCACATCACATGGCACAAATGCACTGCGATTGGCCCTGTCTGTACCATGTGATCACTGTGACCAATCACAGATTTCAACACACAATAGTACACAATAAATGGCTAGAAAAGGAAGCCATTCATTGTGTACAATTGGTTACAGCGATCACATGGTACTGACAATGGCCTGGAACACTGCTTTGTCCACAGATCAGCTCAGCGTGGCCCATATGGCACGATCCTCGGAGGACGTCATACGCCAGGTGCGAAGCAGGTAAAACTCTACCCAGTGAAGTGACTAGCCTCAAATGATAAGCAAGCCCTCCTAATTAACCGCTTCCCCGCTGCCCTATAGCAGAAATACTGCTACAGGGCGGCAGAGGTGCGTAAAATCACGAATATATACACGTGATTTTGCATTTCTGCGAAGGGGGCCCTACCCGCGCTGCCACTCTCGGCCGTCAATCACAGAGTCCCGGCTGGTGATTACCGAGGATTTCGGATGGGGAGGAGGGCTGCTTTGTTTACTAACAGTCGTCCTCCCTGCACAGCCATCCAGAGCAGTGTGCTTACAGTGAAGCACCAACACACCGCCCCATAGTAAAACACTCCCAGCACAGTTAACCCTTTGATCGACCCTCATGTTAACCCCTTCCTGCCCAGTGCTATTAGTACAGGGTCAGTGCTTTTTTTTTTTAGCACCGATCACTGTATTGGTGTCACTGGGATGTCAGTGACACCAAGTCAGTTGCCCGCAGTGTCAGAATGCCTGCCGTAGTCCTGCTATAAGTCGCTGATCGCCGCCATTACTAGTAACAAATGTTAAAAAATTCCAGTATCTATACCGCCATTTGTAAATGCTATAACTTTCACGTAAATCAATTCATTTGCACATATTGGAATTTTTTTTTTTCCAGCAAAGTAGCAGAATACATTTTGGCGACAATTGATTTTTTAAATTTTTTTACTGGACATGTTTAATTGTTTTTTTTTTCTCAAAATTGATGGTCTTTTCTTTTATAGCACAGAAAATAACCACACAGGTGATCAAATATCACTGAAAGAAAGCTCAATACGTGGGAAAAAAAAAGACATAAATTTCATTTAGTTAAAGTAATGCAGCGCCGTAATGCAAAAAAAGGCCTGGGCAGGAAAGGGGGTAAATCCTCAGGGAGGGCAAGTGGTTAAGTTATACCTGTAGCTATCTGTCCTCTAGAGCTGTTCAAAGTCCAGAATTTACACAGAATTTTTCAACTCTGAAACGCAGGGGGGCGGAGATTTGAAGTCTCACAGTGTGGATCTCAGTCAGTACAGCCGTGAGACCTAAATGGAGGGAAGGGACACACCCCTTCCTCAAAGTACACAGAGAACATACAGAACTGTGAATATCAGTCACTGGCTGCAAGTGCTGGGGCTCCTTACCCTGTCACATTTTTTTTATCTCTGGTGTGGGGAAAACATATCAGAAGTGAGTCACACACAATATAGAGGAACAGGGAAGCAGAGAGAAATCACACCCCAATTCTTTGGCGAGAGACAAATGCACAGTATAGAAGGATGTGCTTTGTTCACATTTCATGTCTGAGGCTTACAACCACTTTAAAGTGGCTTATTAAGAATATGTATATATGAATGTGCATAGCTTGACCACAGTTCTACTTTAAAAGTAGCTTAGTTCTCCCAGTTTCCATAAGGTTAGTTTGTTCCTCTCCTTAGACACAAAGTGGTGTAAACATTAGGTAACAGGAAAATATTCTGATCTTTATTTTTGCACATTTTCAAGTACACAATTACAAGGTCATCTCACATCCCTATATTGATTTCACTTTACTTTTTATACAAAATTGTACAGAGAATAAGTCAATACAATATTTTACAAGCAATGTCTAATGAATAATTTACATTATGTTCTTGTACAAAACAAAACAAAAAAAAATGTACCTCTTAAACATTCAACAAAAACATTCAAATTCTGGATCACTTACCAACATTTTTCTGCAGGAATTAAACCATGGAAACATGGTAACATACATAAACATTAACTACAATCTTTATACAGATGTGTACAAAAGCCAATTGAATATCTATGTGCATTTAATATGTACATTTATACAGTCTCATTCTTGCCAAAAAAAAAAAATAATAATAATAGAAAAAAAAATGTATATATATATAAAAAAGGTGTATAGTTTGAGTTAAAACAGCACTGAAATAACAAAACATTAGGGGAACGGCACTGCATGTGTTATCTAGTTACAAACCTTGCACATTGCTTGTCTTATAGCAAATATGTTTTAGTAATTTGCATTTTTAGAGAGATTATCCAAAGTAAATGATTTTTAATGCTATCATCAGTATATGGCATTGGCAAAAGTATCCATTTGCTCTCTTTTCTGTATATATCAATCTCAGAAAAAATGACATGTAGCCAGTCTGTTTTAGTGTTGACCTATACACAAACTGGAAAAATATGATCCACGTTTAATGAAGTACATAGGACAACAGACATTTCATTGGCTCATGATACAGTTCAGGAGATCATAGGATGAAAGTGCCTTTTAAGGTTCCCATACAATGTAGACAATGACAGAAACAAAAGTGAGTTCAGACTTAAATACAGATGCAACAGTGCCCTATAGTGAGCATTACCAACATTGCAAATGCTGTATTTTAGGAATACACAAAGCCAGTGAAAATTGTCACCTAAGAATGCACTGAAAGTTAATGCAACAAAACAAGACTCCATGGTTAATGTAAAAGTGCAGATTTGTTCATCCTGTTTCTATTCTCCCCTAATAAATTACTATCTAAATGAAAATCTTTAAACTCAAGAACTGTAAACAAACTCAAATGTTTCATGTGCCAGGTGTTTAAAACGGGATACACAGGATTAGCTCCAAGCCAATTTTGAAAGGAATTATTCATGTTTAACCAATACACACGGTTAGCAAATACCATAGCGCAGTACTGGTTAATTTCTTAAAATAATTTTAGTAGTTAAAAAAAAATGCCAATATTTCACACATAAAAACCAAAAAAATGTGTAAAATGTCTACTTCCTCAATAAAACGGTCCCCCTTTACATAGGTCTCTCTTACATCAAAGTATTTCAAAGTCATAAAGACCAAGAGCCATTGCTTTGAAAATATATACCAAAAACACGTTTTCACGAAATCACTCTTGGAAACACTGATAACACTTTCTCAGTATACTTCCCTTTTGTTAGATAGATGAGCATAAATGTACATATTGCACACACAACACTGATATTATAAAAACGGAAGTAAGAGAAAGCAGCAGACTAGCAGGAAGGACATGGCACTAACAGGATTTGGGTGGGAACCAGATATGTGTCCAATAAGAATTTCTGTGACATTTCTAGTTTAAAAAATGGCTTGTGTTTTTTGGTGTAATCTTTAATCACGACTCCCAACATTAAGACCCACCTAAGCTTTTTTTTTTTTTTTTCTCCTTTCAGTTTAATCTTAAAATGCTTGAGATTTGCAGATATAGCATAGCTAGGACATGGACTGCTGCAGTACTGCATCTTCTGTATGCTGCTCAGCGACATACGTGACAGCTTACCCAGGACAACTTGCATTTATTGACACCTAAGAAAGCTGACACACAACACACAGCAACAATGAAATTTCCATGCATCCACTTTCATGAACAACCCCACTAAATACTGATAAATAAAACTATATTTTGCCTGCCAAATAAGACTAACTTTAAGATGGAGAAGAAGTTTACGTAAAAGTCCCCAATTCTTCATGCAACTTCAGCATAATGTGTTCTGTGTTCTTTTATAAGCTAGATGAATGTTGTGGGTCAAGTTAGTTTTTGAATCGCATACAGAAGTGAATGAAAGAACTCAGCATACATGTCCACCTGCTCCTCATAGTTGCAGCTTTGTTGGTTTATTAAACAGAGCAGAACTGGAATATAAAAAATAGTTTAGAGGCACATGGCTTACTAAAATGACAAAAGCAAAACAAAACCCACACTACACTTTTACAAGAATGGGTACACAATAAGCAATCCTCTGAAAAGACAGGTATATAAAAAGGTCACACTAAAGCAGCCTCTTTATGATGTTTCATTGTGTGCTGGTTCTTTTCAGATGGCCGGCGGAAGCCTTTTTTGCAGTAGTCGCAGCGATGGGGGTAGTCTTTGGTGTGGATGGAGATGACATGACGTTTAAAACCAGAAGCGTCCGTAGTATTGTACTCACAGTACTCACACTGGTAAACTTTCTTACCACTGTGAGTTTTCATGTGCTTTTTCAGTTCAGCCTGCTGCCTAAAGCCCTTACGGCAGCGTTTGCACCTAAATGGTAACTCCTTAGTGTGCACAGAAAGAATGTGTCGACTCAAAACAAACGGGTCCGCAATCTGAAACTCGCAGTGCCTGCACTGGTGCATCTTTTTGCCCCGATGTGCAGCTTCGTGCTTTTTGAGCTCAGAAGGCCGATGAAAGCCCTTCTCACAAACTTCACACTTGTGAGGATAATCCTTGGTGTGCACAGAGATAATGTGCCTCTTTAGGTCACTAGAGTTGGAGCTCTTGTGGTCACAGTGCAGGCACTGATGACTTTTGCTCTCTTGGTGCAAGATGGCATGTGCCTGCAGATCCTTAGAGTCTGCAAATGTCTGCAGACAAATGTCACACTTGAATGGCATCTCTTTGCTGTGCTTTGTCTTAACATGGGTTTTCAAGTTGGAGGAGTCTGCTGACTTGTAGTCACAATACTGACAGAGATAAGGTTTCTCTCCAGTATGAGTACGCATGTGCTTCTTGAGCTCAGACGGATGACGGAAACCCTTTCCACACTCCACACAGATATGTGGAAAGCTCTTGCTGTGCACAGCCAAGAGGTGCCTGTTCAGTAAGCCCTGCTCAGCAGTCTCATAATCACAAAATTTACACTTGTGCATTTTGTTCCCCGACTTTTCCTTATGTGTCAATTTGTGAGCAAACAAAGCATTGGCGTGCAGAAATACTTTGCCACATTCATCGCAGTCCAACTCCTTCTCAGTTTTAATGACAGCAGCGGTCAGCTTATGACTCTCCAGATGGTTGTGTAGGCTGACCTTCTTATTTGTGGTGTAATCACAGTCAGTACAGCGGTATTTCTTGCGGGCTAGGTGCTCAGGGTGGTTCTTCATGTGTCTCTTTAGGAAACCTCGCGACTTAAATTTCTTCCCACAGATCATACACGGGTAAACAGTGAGTGGATGTCCATCGGGACCAATAATTATGGCTATTAAAAAGACACAAACAAATAATACATGAGACTTATCTTTTTTTCTCCCCCAAATCTTTCATGGAGACAACAAACTTTGGGGCTATCGTGCAAAGTATTTGCAAGCACAAAAGAGAAAAAAACCCCCATCTAACTGTATTTTGTTATACAGTCAGGTCCATAAATATTGGGACATCGACACAATTCTAACATTTTTGGCTCTATACACCACCACAATGGATTTGAAACGAAACAAACAAGATGTGCTTTAACTGCAGACTGTCAGCTTTAATTTGAGGGTATTTACATCCAAATCAGGTGAACGGTGTAGGAATTACAACAGTTTGCATATGTGCCTCCCACTTGTTAAGGGACCAAAAGTAATGGGACAGAATAATAATCATAAATCAAACTTTCACTTTTTAATACTTGGTTGCAAATCCTTTGCAGTCAATTACAGCCTGAAGTCTGGAACGCATAGACAGCACCACATGCTGGCTTTCATCCCTGGTGATGCTCTGCCAGGCCTCTACTGCAATTGTCTTCAGTTCCTGTTTGTTCTTGGGGCATTTTCCTTTCAGTTTTGTCTTCAGCAAGTGAAATGCATGCTCAATCGGATTCAGGTCAGGTGATTGACTTGGCCATTGCATAACATTCCACTTCTTTCCCTTAAACTCTTTGGTTTCTTTTGCAGTATGCTTTGGGTCATTGTCCATCTGCACTCTAAAGCGGCGTCCAATGAGTTGTGAAGCATTTGGCTGAATATGAGCAGATAATATTGCCCGAAACGCTTCAGAATTCATCCTGCTGCTTTTGTCAGCAGTCACATCATCAATAAATACAAGAGAACCAGTTCCATTGGCAGCCATACATGCCCACGCCATGACACTACCACCACCATGCTTCACTGATGAGGTGGTATGCTTAGGATCATGAGCAGTTCCTTTCCTTCTCTATACTCTTCTCTTCCCATCACTCTGGTACAAGTTGATCTTGGTCTCATCTGTCCATAGGATGTTGTTCCAGAACTGTGAAGGCTTTTTTAGATGTCGTTTGGCAAACTCTAATCTGGCCTTCCTGTTTTTGTGGCTCACCAATGGTTTACATCTTGTGGTGAACCCTCTGTATTCACTCTGGTGAAGTCTTCTCTTGATTGTTGACTTTGATACACATACACCTACCTCCTGGAGAGTGTTCTTGATCTGGCCAACTGTTGTGAAGGGTGTTTTCTTTACCAGGGAAATAATTCTTTGGTCATCCACCACAGTTGTTTTCCGTGGTCTTCCGGGTCTTTTGGTGTTGCTGAGCTCACCGGTGCATTCCTTCTTTTTAAGAATGTTCCAAACAGTTGTTTTGGACACGCCTAATGTTTTTGCTATCTCTCTGATGGGTTTGTTTTGTTTTTTCAGCCTAATGATGGCTTGCTTCACTGATAGTGACAGCTCTTTGGATCTCATCTTGAGAGTTGACAGCAACAGATTCCAAATGCAAATAGCACACTTGAAATGAACTCTGGACCTTTTATCTGCTCATTGTAATAGGGATAATGAGGGAATAACACACACCTGGCCATGGAACAGCTGAGAAGCCAATTATCCCATTACTTTTGGTCGCTTTAAAAGTAGGAGGCACATATGCAAACTGTTGTAATTCCTACACCGTTCACCTGATTTGGATGTAAATACCCTCAAATTAAAGCTGACAGTCTGCAGTTAAAGCACATCTTGTTCGTTTCATTTCAAATCCATTGTGGTGGTGTATAAAGCCAAAAATATTAGAATTGTGTTGATGTCCCAATGTTTATGGACCTGACTGTATAAGGTTTGCTGGAAAAGTCAAACAAACATTCTATTATTCAATTTATGAATAAAAATATGACAAAACAGGGTTCCCACAATAAAGAACAACTTGCCCAGAAAGAACAAATATCTTTCCTCTATGTTCTAAAGGACAATTTTGAATTGTTGTTATGGGTAAGTCCTCCCTTTTTCAGGACAATTCTATTTCCTTAACTAGGCCAAATCTTATATCCCTTGTGTGCCGAGATGTGTGGGGAAGAAAATGGCTAGTTGTGAAGACATGTGCTGGAGTTGTGTCCCGCTGCTATGCAACCAGTGGGCGAATGGGTGTCCACTCCACCAGTAATATGTAATCTATTGAAGGGATTTTCCACTTTCTTCCACTAAAGAAAAACACGAGCAAATAGAGAACAGCATCTGTGCTTAAACCCTACAAAACTGGAGTACCAGACATCTAATGCTATATTCACACCATCAGCGACCTGTTCACTATAATCACAGGTTGACAGTGGTCGCAGGTATTCATGGCTGTCTACACAGCCAACGATTACCTGCAGTGATCACCGCAGGTAATCACTGGCTGTGCAGAGAGCCATGAATAGTTGCGGCTGCTGGTGACCTCACATTGTAGTGACCTTTCCACCCAGCCACTCACAGCCGCAGCAGGAATCAGAAGGTTCCTGCCACTACAATTCGCACCAGTGTGACTGTAGTCTACCAGTTTCCTTAGCACCTAATGCACAAGATATTAAACTACAGTAAACGGTCATGAAAAAAATTCTGAAAATGCTAGTTGTCTGCCTATCTTTAGCTTGAATACTTCCAAGTCACAAAAGAGACTAAGAATAAGAATACAAGAAATGGAAGCTGCATTTATCTAAACTTTTTTTTTTTTTTTAAAGGTTACTTAAAATATTAAAAGGTTCCAATGCAAACTACACAATTCTCTCACGACAGGATTCTTTTAGGCAGAATGGTTAAATCAAAAAACAATACTCAGTGAAGCTATTGCTTCTTACTGTCAACTGGACCTTACCACCTTATACAAATAGATGAAGCCTAGACAAGCAAACCACTGTGACAAAAGTAGATAAATATAAGTCAAGAGGTCCACTCACTCAAACCAGTATTTAAGGTTTGGATATATACTGGCAGCTTGAATTATGGTCTGATTTTGTAAAGATCTCTGGGACTAAAAGCATCATAACAGTGCAGGAGATGTGTTTAGAAGACTACCCTGCCCTCACTGCAAGGTATATCTCAAAGGTCCTACCACAAACTTTAATAAAGCAACATAAAAGAAAAAAAAAACTTTCTTCTTGGAAAATTATGCCTCTTGGGCTCCCCACAGACACATCTTATCTCAATGTATACAAGCATGGTTGACAACCACCAGGACACAGGATAGGCTTTCCAAATACACCCTCACACGGCCCTGTTGGATTCACTACAAAATCATGACAGAATACAAACAAATGTCCACCCCCATTTAAGAGGGATACTGGACAATTTTTTAGTTATCTGCAATAAATTGATCTCTGAAAGACATGTTCTTAACCAGACTCAGGGAGAGCAATATTGGTGGGGGTCTGGCCTACCAAGGCATGGAGGAGGCACCTGCCACTCCTTACTAAAATCTGCTCCCCTCGTATACCTCTCTTTCGCTCACTCTCTTTCCCATCCCTTCCTTTCTCCATACCGCGTTTCCTTCATTCATAACCCCGTCTCTCCCTACATTCTATGACCCACCTTTTTCTCCCTTAACACCCTGTTTTGGAGAGGCTGGAAGACCAGTGTCCTTAACTGCCTCCTAGTTCTTACACTCTCATGAGGGATAGGGGTGTTGGCAAAAATCAATGAAGGAAGATTACAAAGTTTGCAGGAATCAGCAGACAGGGACACATCAAATTAAAAGTAATGACCCTTTTCCCGATTTTATTTTTACTAAACCTAGTCTTTAATAAATACTAAACTGTGGGGGGAAAAAAAAAAAAAAAATCTAATAGGAAAGGCAAGGTTCCTTTCTGCTTGGATACTACTGGCCTCCCCAAACCTTCCCTACAGGATATTTCTTATGTCCTCAAAATAGGTTTTTATTAAACTCCTAAACATAGAGAGTCTTATTAATCTGGTATTGTGCCCTTTATTAAACTCAAGTCATATATCACTATAGGTTTCTCTCATTTAGACTGTCTCTCAAGCAAATGAAAGTTTCTACGGAGCCCTTCAGAGCACGGAGGTTAAGAGCATAGGTTATAGGACTCATTCAGCTGCAAGTGTAATTTCAGTTTGAAACACACAAACTGGCCTTTTTGTAAAAGCAAACCAGTTAGGATTAGCCTGGTAAACGCTCAGTTTTCTGGCTATACACCCACCCACCCACAGTGCTGTGAAATAGTATTTACCCCCTTCCTGATTTTTTTTTTTTGCGCATATGTGTCACACTTAAATGATTCAGATCATCAAACAAGTTTTAAATATTATACAAAGATAAGTAAATAAAAAACACACGTTTTAAAAATGATTTCATTTAATAGTGGAAAAAAGCTGTCCAAACCAGCCTGGCCCTATGTGAAAAAAATAATTTCCCCCTAAGCCTAGTAACTGGTTGTACCACCCTTGGTGGCAACAACTACAATCAAGTGTTTGCGATAACTAAAAATGAGTCTTTCACATTACCATGGAGCAATTCTGGCCCACTCTTTGCAGAATTGTTTTAATTCAGCCACATTGGAGCGGGTTCAAGCCTGTTTAAGGTCATGCCACGGCATCTCAATTGGCTTCAAGTCCAAGCTTTGACTAAGCCACTCCAAAAACCTTAATGTTGATTTTTTTTTGAGCCAGAGGTGGACTTGCTGGTGTGTTTCGGATCATTGTCCTGCTGAATAACCCAAGTGCTCTTGAGCTTGAGGTTACAAACTGATGGCTGGACATTCCCCTTCAAGATTTTCTGGCACAGTGCAGAATTCATGATTCAATCAATTATAGCAGGTCGTCCAGGTCTTGAAGCTGCAAAGCAGCCCCAGACCATCACACTACCATGTTTGACTGTTGGTGTAATGGGACGCACACCTTCCAAAAAGCTTTGTCTCATCAGTTCACAGAATATATGCCCAAAAGACTTGGGGATAATCAAGATTTTTTTTTAGCATATGCAGTTCTTTTGATGTTGTTCTGGGTCCACAACAGTGTTCTCCATTTGTGGATAATGGCTCTCACCATGGTTTGCTAGAGTCCCAAAGCCTTTCTTTAGATCACGGCATGATATGCTGATTTTTTAGATCTTTTAGTGTGCTTTACTTTGTCAGACAGCTTCTATTTAGGTGATTTCTTGATTCAACAGGTCTGGCGGTAACCAGGCCTGGGTGTGGCAAGTGAAATTTAACTCAGCTTTCCAAAAAATTTGGTTAATCACAGTTTATTTGTGATTTAGCAAAGGAGGGGGCAATAACATTTTCACATAGGTGTAAAAATGCAAATTAATAAAATACTTGTGAGCCACTAGAAGTTTTCTTACTTATAGAGCAATAAATTCTGTGTATGAAATTACTAATAATATTGAATTTATGAATCAAGTGAACAACTAATAAATCGATAACCGTGCTTAAATGAATAATAAATATTTAGATCGCCAGGTACTTTTTACACCCTCTCCAGGTGTATGGATGTTAATTTCATATATCTATATTGTACCGCGCTCCAAAATTAATAAATCTAAGTGCTCTAAATGGATAAATAAATAATTATATATAACTAAAAATTCAATAATAATCTATATCCATAATACTTAAATTCATAATTGCATAATACTTGAATCCATGATAGAAGTGAAAAAAATTCCATTAATATTGTAAATCAATACATAAAAAACTTTGTGCCTGAAAAACTATTTAAAAAATAATAAATAAATAAAATAAAATAAACTGGAAGAAAATTTTGTATGAATTAATAATAGTTCAGTTCATACGAATTGAGATGGTAATGTGAATCAATCTGACTGGCGTGGTAAGTCTATGTTCATGGCATGAACCTCTCTCTCCTTCCTCCTCTCCTTTCTCCTCAATTCAGCTTTTCTCAATTAGGACTTTCTCCTCTATCTGCTTGGCTTATTCCTCCATAAACGATGCATACATAGAAAAGGGAAAAAGAAACATAGTGTCTTATCCTTAGTAAAAATGTTTAATGAGCTTCTGATCTCCCACTCACATGGTATCAGCAAAAGTAACGCTTTGTGTAAATAAATCCAGGTCCTCCTGCAAACAGCCCTGCAGGTGTGTGTGTGTTCATCGCTATACTCGCCGTTTCCTCTGTGGATGCGTGATGACGTCACCGTCACCGCCCCCCCTACGCGTTACGCTACAGGGACTCGTAGCTTCCTCTGGGGAAGCTACGAGTCCCTGTAGCGTAACGCGTAGGGGAGGGGCGGTGACGTCATCACGCATCCACAGAGGAAACGGCGAGTATAGCGAGTGAACACACACACACCTGCAGGGCTGTTTGCAGGAGGACCTGGATTTATTTACACAAAGCGTTACTTTTGCTGATACCATGTGAGTGGGAGATCAGAAGCTCATTAAACATTTTTACTAAGGATAAGACACTATGTTTCTTTTTCCCTTTTCTATGTATGAATCGTTTATGGAGGAATAAGCCAAGCAGATAGAGGAGAAAGTCCTAATTGAGAAAAGCTGAATTGAGGAGAAAGGAGAGGAGGAAGGAGAGAGAGGTTCATGCCATGAACATAGACTTACCACGCCAGTCAGATTGATTCACATTACCATCTCAATTCGTATGAACTGAACTATTATTAATTCATACAAAATTTTCTTCCAGTTTATTTTATTTTATTTATTTATTATTTTTTAAATAGTTTTTCAGGCACGAAGTTTTTTATGTATTGATTTACAATATTAATGGAATTTTTTTCACTTCTATCATGGATTCAAGTATTATGCAATTATGAATTTAAGTATTATGGATATAGATTATTATTGAATTTTTAGTTATATATAATTATTTATTTATCCATTTAGAGCACTAACATTTTCACATAGGGCCAAGCAGGTTTCAACAGATTTTTTTACCATTAATGAAATCATCATTTAAAAACTGCATTTTGTATTTACTCGTTTAAGTGTGACAAATATGCACAAAAATAAAAAAAAAAAAAATCATCAGGAAGAGGATAAATGCTTTTTCACACACAAACACGAGCGTACCTCGGTTTACGAGTTTATTGTGTTCTCTAGGACATTTTGTATTGCGAAATATTCGTAAACCGAAACGTGGTTTTCCTTAGGAATGCATTGAAAACCAATTAATCCGTTCCGGAGGTCAGAAAAATGTAAAAAAAAAAAAAGCCTTTTATCTGTTCAAAACTCTTTATAAAGTGCACTTTAAAGGATTAATACTGTACAGGGACATGATTAAAAAGAAATTTGTAAATAAATTGAAAACCAATTAATCTTTAAATGCACTTTAAAGGCACGGGACCGGCGCTATAAACCTCCCAGGTGCAATGCATCCTGAGGAAACTTACTTCAAACTGCAAAAAAAACTTGTAAACCGAGGCATTTTCAATGGATTTTCATTTGTAAACCAAAAATTACGTTAACCGAGGCGTTTGTAAACCGAGGTACGCGTGTGTGTATATATCTCATATACACACTGCATATATTTAAACATTTTATTTTTTAGGTCTGCTGAATGACTAATCTGTGTGGACATTCACCTCAAGCATGCACCATACTGAATCTACTTAATACAAATACACTGAATTCAAAACACAAACCTGTTTGGTATTGTCTGTTTTCTCCTCTTCTCTTCTTCTTTGGTTTTTGCTTTAGTCTGTCCAGTCCATCAGACTCATCTATGTGTAAAAGGGCACTAGCAGTGCCATTACGGTGTTCTACTCCCTCCACGCTGTTCGTCATGTTATTACCTAAAACATTAAAAGTGGTGTATCAAAAATGTACAGAAAAATATATAGTGAAATTTTAAAGGCAAAAATATTGACAATTTTAGTGATCACATGTACTAGGAGGTAATATTGTAATGTGTACATGGTTTCCACATTTGATTTGCAGTTAATGCAGATGAAATGCAGCCTTTTCTGTCTAAAGCTGCGTTTTGCATTCAATTCATGCATTTGAGCAACACTGCTCATGCCAATCAGCTTGCCAACTGCTGAGATCAAATTTCAGATCTAACAAGACCTGAATGGTAGACTTACCCTTAGAGAGAAGGACAGTAAGGGCCCACGTTAAGTGGCTTTTGATCAGAACTGCTTTGCTCCTCATACTAAGTTCTCATAATAAGTCTATGGAAATGCAAAGGCAGGTAAATTGCCCTAGCAATGAATTCTGAATGATTTCAGAAGTGTCTCAAACTGATTTCACTTCTGAAATCATTCATTTGCCCATTGAAGCCTGTCAACACAGGCTCTAAGGTACAACTATTTATTAGCAATAACCTTTTAAAAGATAAGTCTAAATAGTTATTTACATAAAAGGAGGCCTGAACTGGTTAACCCCCTTTTGAAAATGCTATTTGCTTGCCTGCCATTGTCTGAACCTGCATTTTTCTGAATTACTTTCAGAATAGGTTTCATTCAGGAGAATGATCACTTTGTTATATACCTAAAAGCACTGAAAATGCTTCAGGTGATTGGTGAGTTTGATATATAAAAAGGTGTAGGGGTGCAAAAACAAATAGATTTCTTTCATTGACATAAAAACTAAATCTTTCGGTTTTCAGGTTGGCCTTTAAATTGTGTTTTTTGGCTGTACTTCTGTGGATCAGAGGAGTGCAGTTAATTTTGCACTCCTATCACCCATTATCGGCTGACAGCAAACTGAAATCACTCAGCTGGTCCAGGCTGTGGAAAGTTGGGATCCACCCCAGAGTCTGGAGCAAAGCGCTGAGAGCCTGAGCCAGCTGCTTCCTCCCCCTCCACAGCTCAGCGCTCCAATGAGCGCTGAGGAAGCTGAGCAGACAATGGTGACTGACGGTCCTGCACTCTGCTCAGAGCGGAGAGGAGAACTAAGCGATCACTGGTCATGTGATTGCTGAGTTCTCACACTTGGAGCCGGAAAGGAACAGATACAGAATTGGTCCACTGCTTAATCTGTCCCCAGCCTGCTCTAAGTGTGAGAACCTAGGTAAGTATAAATGGGGGGAGGGGAGCCCTACTTCTCAAAAGTTAATAGTCCTCCTAATAATCTGTAGATCCATTATGTAGCACTGACTGTTCACCCCGACTAGGGCAGTATTTAAACTCCAGCACATACAGTGATAGGAGTATACCTTTTTCTATTTAGAAATTAACTGCACATCTTATCATGGGTGCCTCTACACAACTCCATTATCACAAGTGGTGCACTAATCTGTTGTATTTGTTGGGAAATCTGGCTTACCCGCACAAGGTAATATTACTACAACGGTTCTGTCAGTCTTAGAACCCCCAAGCTTTAACATGTCTATCAAACACACTAAAATATTTTACTGTAGTGTACTTTTGCACTGTGAATCTCTGCACTTAAATGTTAATTCCTGCTAATAAACAAAGGTCTTTACCATACGCTGCTGCCCAGGCTACTGGCATAAAGGTCTTGCTTAGTTCAGCATCGTCAAGTTGATGATCATGTGTTATTGAGGCATCCTCCTCTCCAACAATAACTTCCATATACACCTCATCAGCAATCTCTGCCACATCTGTGAAAGAAACAATGTTATTTAGGTTCACACTGAGGCATTATTTATGTAAATAAAAACAAATCGAACCAATATTCTATGCTTCTTTTACCAAAAACAGGCACTGATCAACAAAATACAAAAATATTCCTACTCCTTAAAGCGGTAGTAAACTCTGCCCCTCGAGAACACCTCATCAATGCAGCAAGTATGTTGAAGCTTTCTATTACATTCTGCCCAGTTAGTGACCCATTGTGATGTCTCTTGCTTGCATTTGGTGCAGTTTGTAATTTGTTCCTCCGCATCCGAAGACGGCATCACAATGAGTACTGTCTTCCGTAGCGCTCTGAGCTTCCACCCTTTCTGCTTCTCCCTGCCATAATCTTGTGTCTGTGCAGTGAGTTTGTAGCAAGCCTCATTTTTGTTTTGTTGATTACTATGGAACATTATATAAATAAATGTGATGCTAGGGTTTGGATAAACAGGCTTTTGAACATGTATTTTTAAGCAGTGTGAAGCAACGTCAGAATTGTGACTCAGATGTCAGAAGAAATCTTCCTTCAAAAATCTGCAAGGAAACAGACATTTCTGGGAGACTTGATCTCCTAGGTCTTTCTTCCCACTGACAGCCACTCATTATTTTATTGACACAGAGGTCAGCAAGAGGAACCAGTAACTAGTGAAAGCTGTGAGGGACAAAGCAGATCGACACTCCCCCAGCATATTTCAGGGAACAGTAGGTATTTGCTTGCTTATTTTACAGGTATACCTTTCTGCAGTGTCATTTAAAAGCATGATGCATTAGACTTGCTTCTAGAGTACACATAACCCTAGTGAGATTGTAGGTGTGGTTTGACAACTTATTGTATGTATGAGTTCAATTAAAAAACTAGTATCAGTAACTATAAATGGTCTGACACGTAAGAATGTATCAAGCAAATGTGCCACAAAAATTATTCTAATTTCATGTCCACCTACTGAACCTACAATATAAAGACATTATTTTACTGCTTCTCAGTTATGGTTAGGAATTTACCCAAATCGTTGTCTTCATTTTGGGAGTCATTAACGGCCATATAAACCATTTTCTCCCGAGGAAGCCGACCTCCAGTGTGTGGGTCCAAAAGTCCCTCTCCATGGTCATTCTCTGACTCGCTTTCAACAATATCCACAGTGCCGCCTGGCAGGAAAAATATTCAAACAATTTATTTTTCCTACAGCCAACATATGCCATAAATCAGCAGGCAAAAAAAAAAAAAACAAGGCAGAAAAAATACACAGATGTTAGGGTTGGTCCAATATTTACAAAAACAAAACCAGATCATAGAAATCCTCAGTCCTTACCAATGCATAGGCTGTAAGAAAAGGAAAACACTGAACTGGCAGGCTGCTTTTTGTGAAAGAGTTCCTTACCCAAGTCTTCTTCACCAGGATCAGCCTTAAATATGTAAACCTTGATAACTTCTGGGCATGTTCCATCTAACTTGCTGGAGTCACCCTCTACATCGCCTGCCAGAGCAATTTCTTCAGCACACTCTTCATCAATTTTTTCTGCATCATCCACTAAAAAAATAAATAAATATTAGGCTTTGCTTCGCAGGGAATTCATATTGTGGATTAAAAACACCCCAAAACTATTAGTGCATCTGGATTCTGTGAACACTTGCTCCTGGCTGAATATCAGTACGCTGTGAACATAAGCTGAGGTCTGCCCAAGAACAGAGATTCAATATTTGCCATCTGCATGTCCATTCACACACAGAGCTGTGGCTCAGCCCTGCCCCCTCCCTCTTCTGATTGACTCAATGGCTGTGACTGACAGCAGTGGGAGTCAATGGCTCCCACTGCTGCCTCAGCCAATCAGCAGTAAAAGTCCCCAGAGAACTGAGGCTCTCGTGGACATCGCTGGATTGGGATGGGGCTCAGGTAAGTGTTAGGGGAGGCTGGGGGGGCTGCTACACACAGAAAGGTTTTTACCTTCATGCATAGAATGCATGAAGGTGAAAACCGTGAGCCTTTAGAACCACTTAAAAGCAACTATTTTCTAAAACTGACCAAGTTTTACTTGCAATAAAAACTCAAACAAGTTCTCATCAGAGACATAAGACTGACTGCTGATCCACTTCACCACAAGCAATATTGCTATAATTCTGAAATAAACCATAAACATTAGCCCTAAAATCTAAGCAACTCCTAATTTGTGGACATAGCTTGCAAAAAAAAAAAAAGCAACATAATCATTACGTATAACACAACGTACATGAAATCATGAGGTAGTCATCACAATTTACTTCTTCCCCATCTGGTCCTTGCACTGGAATCCCATTGGCATCAATCACAGCTTCTGATGCACAGTCAGCTACTAAGACCTCTTCTGAAATCATGTCATCTCCGAGATCATCATCTGTCATTGCCTCACCAACCACGTGCTCAGACCGAACAACACTATCAGCGTCCGGGACAGTCAGGTCACTTTCAACTAAATCAGAGTCCAGAACATTGTCTGGTACATCACAGTTAGAAAGGACATCCTCTTCCAGTTCCTGTTCCTCAGTTTCAGGGCCAATTTCATCCTCTAAGACTTGCTCTGGTATTATTACAGTTTCTGACACCCGAGCTCCCTCCAAAATGTCTGAGCACTGCACATCTTCTATAACCACATCTTCAATTACATCCTGAATCACCACAGAGTCAGCATCTTCTGCAAAACCTTGAACAGTCATGCCTCCTTCTCCATCTGAAACAAAGACAGTCTCTTGGATCTCGACAATAATTTCATTTCCATTAAGATGTGGGGTTCCCGTTCCTAGAAGAGCATAAAACAGCAAGGAGAATTATTTTGACAAGCCCAACAGAGAAAACATACGTTTGTTTGGAAATATTTATGACATTTCGTTTTATTCTTTATATGCATTGCGTTAAAATTACTCCAGTGGGGTTGCCATAAAAACGTTTAAAATGTGAAAAAAAAAAAAGTAATCACACTTCAATAAACAGACATACTGTATGTATCTATCAAGTGAAAAAAATAAATTATCAAGGAATAGGAAACGTCACACTCAAAGCACTTTACAATGCTAAGTTGACCTGCAGGTTATTTGGTATACCTCAGTAAGAGGAAAAGCTGGTTACCAGATATACGGATGTCTAATGAGAGGTTGAAACAACATGTTTCAAACACTGTTTAGGGTAAAATCTAGATTCAGTGTTCTGGAACATGGTTGCCATGGACTGAGTGTCCATAAAATAAAGGCTAACAAATGGAAGTAAATTCTAAAGATATATTTCCCCACTATTAAGGTGGCAAAGGCTTCTGGAGGCCACAGTGGGACACAAAGGTAGCATGCTGAAGGGGCACAATTAACAGGGTCAACGTTTTGTTTCAGGACACATGCAGTGCGGGAAACAAAACCCACTTTCCGTGAGACCTGCAGCAGGTGTCAATGTTAAATTAATGACACCCCAAATGTAGGTCGCAAATGCAGTGTTTTCCTGCACTGGATACTTCTGTACCAAACAATCCAGTTGAAGTGCGTTTCCAAAAGCAGTGCATGCATTACTTTGAGTGCAGTGCAGTGCGAATTGAGCCATTTAGAATGAATGGGCTCAAATCGCATTACAATGAACCGTATGTGAATCGCTGCCAGTTCCTGTGTGATTCCAAGTGTTAACTGGCCCTCGACCAAAATGAATACATCACAACCCCCAAAATTCTGTATTATAAATATATCCTACAATAGATGTATTGTTAAACTGTAACTGCACTGCATCTGAGCACCACTATTTAATACATTTTTCATATTCAAAGCAAACTCACTCATCTATCCATATCTCTATGCTTTATTGTGTGGAGAAATCACTTTGAAATACACTCCATAGCATTCCTGTCCATGGCCATCTTGAGTAAGGGCAGATGATTTATGTAGCAGTTACTCCCTAGAATCCATCTGCACTTAGCTCAGGCATGCAGCCAGGAGAGTGTGCTTGGCTGAGAAAACCCATCCTCCTCTCCTGAAGTCTCCTGAGATGTAAGACATTTGCCTAGGCATGGAAACCAGGAAGAAATGTAAAAAAAAAAGCAAAAACCTTTAAGTAAGCAAATATGATAACCTTTCCTATCTCTTTACTAATGCTAGCAGTATAAGGATTGAAAATAGTCAATGTTTATTGATAGAGAAAAGGTCTGCTTTAAAAATCACACTTTAACTTTAGTCAAACTTGTAATATGAAAAGAGTATACCGTCTGAAAAGATTATAAGCAATTACTACATTTAAAAAAAGGAGATTGCCTCACAAAGTAAAACAATCCATCTGGAGTTGGTACAGGGACTCATCTTGCAAATCAAAGTGCTACAACTTCATATGATCTGACTATATTTCCACCTTTAGGGCTGGTTCACACCACAGAAGTGCAGTCTGCATGCATGCCAGATGTGTTTCTGTATGCATGTTTTTGATGCACTGTTTCCTCTTGTTTGCTTTTTACATTTTTCTTCATTTTCCTTTTCTGTGTAATGTGTTTCCACGCGGTTTTGATTTGGTTTGCCATGTTAAAGTACAAATCCTTGCAGAAAAAAAATGCAGCATGTTCTACTTTTGCTGACTGTACTGGAACACACTGCAATGGTGTGAACTTAGCCAATGGAATCAATGTAACCTACTATCCATGTGTTTTTGATACAGAAAAAAAAACCCACACTGGACTGCATGTGGTATGTTAGTGACATCAGCTACATTTCAAACAAAAGTGACTCAAGCAACCTCTAGTACCTGAAGCATGAAAGAAAGCATGCGGCTCCGTGGTATGCAGTGCAAGCTCAGCTACATCCTCTTCCATGACTCTGAACAAGCATTAGCTGATCTTTCTGTAATAAAAAATAATGATGCAAAAAAAAAAAAAACAAACAAAAAACACAAAATGAAATAAAGTTCTATTTTCAGTATAAAGTCAAAAACACACATACATTATTAAAGGTGTATTCTGATGCCAACCTTGCTGGACATAAAACAGTTACAAACATTTTTATTAGAACAGGCAAAATAAATGAATCACAGTCTTGTCCTCACCATTTGGAAATTAAGTGTATGGAAGTGGACTCAAAGGTTTTCTTTGTAGGCAACAGTAAGCATGTTTTCTTTTTTACTGTAAAAAAACAGTATGGTAACAATTTCAATAACTCATTGCAAAATTGAATACCTACAGAATTTTAAAGTACAAAATATAATTGTTCTCCTTAATTATGAACATCTATAAAGTAGCATAGCTAAAGAAAACCTGTGGTGGACAATTGCAGCCCTTATTCTAAGAATGCTTAGCTGCCTGGATGTCATTCTGATCTGACTTCAACACCATAACTGACCGAGCACAACCTTGCAGTCAGTAATATTGAACTCCTGATTAGCATGCTTGTTCTGGGACAGGGACTACAACTATTAGGCCTCATTCACACCATACGTGCAGGAAAACTGATGGAAATTGACCAGCAGATTTCACTTGCAGAGACATCAGTTTTCATGCGTGTTTCAGCGAGTTCTATACACGTTGCAAAAAAAAAATCTGCATGTGATACTAGTGTTGTGATGTCAACAAAGCACATAGAGAACTGATTTAGTTGTGCCCTTGCAGAATGCGTGCAGAAAAACTGACATCTATTAGATTGTAAGCTCCAAGGAGCAGGGCCCTCCTAACCCTCTTGTATTGAACTGCATCATTGCTGTATTGTCTCCCGTTATATTGTAAAGCGCTGAGTAAACCACTATATAAATCCTGTATAATAATAATAATATAATCATCATCTGCACCATGGTGTGAACGAGCCCTTAAACTTGCAATCAGATTTCAACACGAGGTGTATATGTACTTTCTCGGTGCTGGTGTCAAAGAGCAACTCCAGAAATATAAGAAAAGCATTCTTTAGATTACCAGTATATATTTTTAAGTCATTCAATGTTTTCAATCCCATCAGCATATATACCTGTAAATGGTCATGGTGACGCTTTTCAGCCGAAAGCTGAAATCAGTTTTTAAGCAGGAATGATTGCAGTGTAAGCTGCTAGACAGGAGGTAAATGTACTTCAGTGGGCAACCTTGTGATGTTTCCTAGTGAGTAGGAAATATTAGAGCAAAGGTGCTACAAAGCTAGGGTAAACACACACACACATATACAGTGAAGGAAATAAGTATTTGATCCCCTGCTGATTTTGAATGTTTGCCCACTCACAAAGAAATGATCAGTCTAAAAATCAAATGGTAGGTGTATTGTATCACTGAGAGACAGAATAGGAACAAAAAAATTCAAAAGAAATGCGTGTCTAACAAATTATACACCGATTTGCATGTTCATGAGGGAAATAAGTATTTGATCCCCTTCACAAAGCATGACTTAGTACTTGGTGGCAAATCCCTTGTTGGCAATCACAGAGGTCAGACGTTTCCTGTAGTTTGCCACCAGGTTTGCACACATCTCAGGAGCGATTTTGGCCCACTCCTCTTGGCAGATCCTCTCCAAGTCATTAAGGTTTGGTGGCTGACGTTTGGCTCACTCCACAGATTTTCAATCAGATTAAGGTCTGGAGACTGGCTAGGCCACTCCAGGACCTTAATGTGCTTCTTCTTGAGCCACTCCTTTGTTGCCTTGGCCATGTGTTTTGGGTTCTTGTCATGCTGGAACACCCATGCACAACCCATTTTTAATGCTGTGGCTGAGGGAAGAAGGTTCTCATCCAAGATTTGATGGTACATTGCCCCGTCCATCGTCCCTTTGATGCTGCGCAGTTGTCCTGTCCCCTAAGCAGAAAAACACCCCCAAAGCAGAATGTTTCCACCACCATGTTTGACAGTTGGGATGGTGTTCTTGGGGTCATAGGCAGCATTCCTCCTCCTCCAAACACGGCGAGTTAAGTTGATGCCAAAGAGCTCGATTTTCATCTCATCTGACCACAACACATTCAACCAGTCCTCCTCTGCATCTTTCAGATGTTCAGTGGCAAACTTCATGTGCTTTCTTGAGCAGAGGGACCTTGCGGGCACTGCAGGATTTCAATCCTTGTCGGCATAGTGTGTTACTAATTGTTTTCTTGGTGACTGTGGTCCCAGCTGGCTGGAGATCATTGAAAAGATCCTCACGTGTAGTTCTGGGATGATTCCTCACTGTTCTCATGATCATTGACACTCCACAAGGTGAGATCTTGCATGGTGTACCAGACCTAGGGAGACTGACAGTTGCATTGTGTTTCTTCCATTTGCTAATGATTGCACCAACTGTTATCTCCTTCTCACCAAGCTGCTTGGCGATAGTTTGGTAGCCCAGTCCAGCCTTGTGTAGGTCTACAATCTTGTCCCTGACATCCTTGGACTGCTCTTTGGTCTTTGCCATGGTGGAGAGTTTGGAACCTGATTGTTTGATTGCTCCTGTGGACAGGTATCTTTTATACAGGTAACAAAATAAGATTAGCAGCACTCCCTTTAAGAGACTGCTTCTAATCTCAGCTTGTTACTGTATGAAAGACACCTGGTAGCCAGAAATCCTGCTGAATGATAGGGGATCAAATACTTATTTCTCTCATGAACATGCAAAATCAGTGCATAATTTGTTGGACATGCATTTCTTTTGAATATGTGTTGCTATTCTGTCTCTCAGTGTTACAATACACCTACCATTTGATTTTTAGACTGATCATTTCTTTGTGAGTGGGCAAACATTCAAAATCAGCAGGAGATCAAATACTTATTTCCTTCACTGTATACACTGGGTGTGCAGACTTTATACCCAGTGTGTGTGTGTATGTGTCAGGAATGGACTCACCACTGGTCGTGGGACTCACCTGCCATGTGGACTGCAGTACCAGGGCTGGCCAGCGGGTGCTCTCAGCAGCCAGACGCTCACTCCTGCAATCAAGTCATCACCTGAGGCTGATTGCAGGAGGTGTATTTAAGGAGTGGCCAGGCCTGCAGTCAGTGCCTTGGTATATGTTTCCCATGAGCCCCTGTACCTGCATCCTGTCTGCTTCCTGCCTGATCCTGTTTCTGCTTTGATCCTGACTCTGAACGAACTCCACCTGTCCTGACCTCGGCTATTCCTGACCACTCTTCTGCCTGCTCCTTTGTGTCTTGTCTGCCCGATGGTTCCTGACCCGGCCTGCCTGACCACTCCACCTCACCAGCCCTGACTGCTCTTGTCTGTGTTCATTCCGTTATCAGTTGGAGGTTTTGTTTTGTTATATTGTGCGTTTTAGATTTGTGTATAACCTTTAATAAATTATATTGTTACACCATACTTGAGCCTGCGTTTCCCTGTGTCAGTTCACAGATCTCTGGTCTTACTGGGAGCCCTGACAGTATGTATATATACATATACACACACTTTTCATTATAGTGCAGCTTGATACTACAATTGTTTAAATTCATTTTTTTTTCCCCTTAACCACTTCAGCTCCAAAAGATTTTACCCCCCTCGTAACCAGGCCATTTTTTGCACTATCACACTGCTCTACTTTAACTGGTAATTGTGCGGTCATGCGACTTATAGTGGGATTGTGATTGTGCAGAGGGCAATCTGACACTGACTGTGAACTAACACGGAAATCTCCAGCGGCACTAATCAGTGCTAATAATATACACTTTCACTGTACCAATGGCACTGGGTAGGAAGGGGTTAACATCTGGGGCAATTAAAAGGTTAAGTGTGTGCCTAGCAAGTGTTCATGGGTTTACTGTGTGGTCCTTTTACTAAAGGGATTTGACTGTTTTTATTCCCTGATTTGTAGGCAGACAAAAACTGACACAACGTCGCTGTCAGTAGAGAGATCTGTGTTATCAACACAGATCTCTCTCCTGTCATCCGCTCTGCCAATTGACAGGTCCTGGGCCAGGAATCATAAACTGGGACCTGCTGATCAGTATGTGCTGGAGCCAGTGAGCACAGCCGAGTCATTGGGCGTGCGCCCCCGAACCTACAATGCATGGTCCGCAAGCGGTTAATCTACACTCAGTACCCCATAATGACAAAGTAAAACAGAAGTTTAGTTATGTTTGCAAATGTATGAAAAAGGAAAAACTGAAATATCACATTGGCATAAATATTCAGACCCTTTGCAACAACACTTGAAATTTAGCTCAGGTGCCTTCATTTCTCTTGATCATTGCTGATATGTTTCTACACTTTGACTGGAGTCCACCTGTGGTAACTTAAATTGATTGGGCATGATTTGGAAAGGCACACACCTCTCTATAAAAGGCCTCACAGCTGAGAATGCATACTGTATAAGAGCAAAAGCCATGAGGTCAAACGAACTGCCTGCAGAGCTCAGAGACAAGATTATTGCAAGGCACAGATCTGGGGAAGTCTACAAAAAGATTTCTCCTGCACTGGAGTTTCCAAAGACCACAGTGGCCTCCATAATTCTCAAATGGAAGACTTTTGGCACAACCAGGACTCTTCCTAAAGCTGATCGCCTACCCAAACTGAGCAATCGGGAGAGAAGGGCCTTAGTAAGAACAAGAACCTGATGGTCACTCTCACTGAGCTCCAGAGATCCTGTGTGGATATGGGACAAAGTTCCAGAAAAACAACCATCACTGCAGCCCTTCACCAATCTGGGCTTTATGGAAGAGTGGCTAGATGGAAGCCTCCCCTCAGTGCAAAACACATGAAAGCTTGCTTGGAGATTGCAAAGAAAAAAAGCACCTGAAGGACTCTCAGACTGGGGAACAATATTCTCTGGTTTGATGAAACCAAATTTGAACTGCTTGGCCTCAATTCTAAAACGTTATGTCTGAAGGAAACCAGACACCGCTCATCACCTGCCCCATACCATCTCAACAGTGAAGCATGGTGG